AAACATGTAATATTTAACAGATTGATTGAGCTCTTAAACTAGACATAATAATCCAGTCTAACCCTGCTGGCATGGTTCAGTAGTTGAGCATCAACCTATGAACCAGGAGATCATTATTTAATTCCAGGTCAAGGCACATGTCTGAGTTATGGGGTGTGCAGGAGGCAGCCGATCAATGATTCTCTGTCATCATTGATGTTTCTATCTCTCCATCTCCCTTCCTCTCTAAAATCAATAAAAATATATTAAAAATTATAATAATCCATTCTATTTGTTCCTGCAGTAAATATTTAGTAAGTAAGTCTTTGTTTCATGGGTTTTACTAGAGAGGTATGGAAACCTAGTTTTATGGAGGAAAAGAAAGTAAAGGAGAGTGATGGAATATGTTGTTGAACTGGAAGGAGTGGATGCTGTAAGTTTAAATAGGGTAACCAGGAATGGCTGCATTGAGAAAATAAGGACCAAAGGGAAGTGAGAGGTTGAGCCATGTGTTTATCTAGGTCCTAATCTGTCTTTCAAATTTTAAGACTGAGAACAGCAGCAAAATTCAATGTCACAATTAGACTTTATTTTTTATTGAACTTATTGAGGTGACATCCTATATAATAAAGAGATAATATGCAAATTGACCATCACTCCAACACACAAGATGTCCACTCCCATGTGGACACAAGATGACTGCCACAAGATAGCCATCAGGGGAGGGCAGTTGTGGGGGTTCAGGCCAGCAGGGGAGGGCAGTTGGAATGGTCCAGGTGTTCAGGGGAGAGCAATTAGGGTGACCGGGCCTGCAGGGGAGGACAGTTGGGGAGGACCAGGGCAGTTGGAGGCAACCAGACCAGCAAGGGAGGGAAGTTGAGGGTGCTCAGGCTGGCAGGAGGAGACCAGTAGAGGTGACCAGACCTGTAGGGGAGAGCAGTTAGGGCCAATCAACCCCAAAAGGGAGCAGTTTGGCATTGATCAGGCTGCCAGGGGAGTGATTAGGGGGTGATCAGGTTGGCAGGCAGAAGCAGTAGGGGCAATCAGGCGATTGTGGGTCCTGGATTGTGGGTCCCAGATTGAGGAGGGTGCAGGCTGGTCCGATGGACACCTCCATGCATGAATTTCATGCACCAGGCCTCTAGTTAATTCATAAAAGTATGTAGGTTTCAGGTGTACATTGCTATAATACATCATCTATATATGATCTATAGTTTATTATTTTTAAAAAGCCCACATGTTTACTTTCCAGTAAACACCTTCCATTACTGTATTGAGGCATAATGGTCAAAATTTAGTATGGATTAGGAATATTATACATATTTTTACAGAGTGTTACAGAGCTTTTTATAAAATGCTTTCTAGAACTTTAAGAGCTGTCAGTATGGAAAATCATTTATGCTTTTGTTTTTCCCTTTGCAAGTGTTAAATGTTTGATGTTCTTTTGATTTGTCAGTTTTTCTTTATGATGTGCTTGTCAAAACAGAGAGCTAACTTGAGACAGAGCATTCTGAAGCTGCCAGCCCTGCGATTCAGACTGTCATCATTTTACAATGTAACATTGCTGTGTGATGGAGGCCAGCTGGTGCATTTAGGTTTCTTATTGAAACTTTTCATCTGATCATTATTGTGATTTGTGGTTTTGTACAGAAATGCTTAATCATTCTTATGTAGCAAGCACTTCTGAAGCTGCTGAAGGCTTTCTCATTCGCTGAATAATTTCTGCTATCAATCTGCTTGTTTGGAAGCATTTCCAGTTTTCTGTATTATTGTTTATTTGCACAGTAAGTAATGCACCACAGAGGCTGAATGTATAGTAATGGTTTGCAATGGATTAATGAGCGATACCATGTTTATGATCCTAATATATAAAAACCCTGGGTCTGTCACCACCAGAGGCTCAACCAACTGGAAGCCAGTCCTGCAGTCAGTGCTGGGTTGCTGTAGCGACACAGTGCTGACTTCTGCAGCTGCAGGTGCAGTGACCCAGCATTGAATGCTAAGGGGGATGCAAATCAGGCCTGGAGAGAGAGGCCTGAAGGAAAAAGCAGGGTCTGATCTGTAGCCTGTGTGGCAGTTGTTGATCAGCACTTGCCTCTTTCTTTCTCTCTATGCAGGTCTAGCAGCCATGCCTCCATTTCTCTCGAGGCTTCCCCTGGGGCTGCTGATCAGCCTCACCTTTCTGATCAGGCCTTGTTGATAGGCCCAGAGACACTGACTGGCATAGAAAGCAACCAATCAGAACCAAATTGGGTGGCAGTGGAGGGCAGTTGGGGGAAATATCAGGCCAGCAGGGGAGGGCTATTGGGGGTGAGATCAGGCCTGCTGTGGAGGGCAGTTGGGGGCAAGATCAGTGGGAGGGGTGTTGGTGACAACCAGGCCAGCAGGAGAGGGCCATTGGGGGTGATATCAGGCTGGCAGGGAAGGGCAGTTATCGGTAATCAGGTAGGCAGGCAGACAGAGGCAGTTAGAGGTGATCTGGCAGGCAGGCAGAGGCAGTAAGGGGCGATATGGAAGGCAGGCAGAGAGGTTAGAGGCGATCAGGTGGGTAAGCAGAGGCAGTTAAAGGCAACCAGGCAGGCAGGCAGTTGAGCAGATAAGAGCCAGTGGTCCCAGATTGTGAGAGGGATGTCCCTGATTGGAGAGGGTGCAGGCTGGGCTGAGGAACACCCCCTCCCCCCCCCTTTCAAGCATGAATTTTGTGCCCCGGGCCACTAGTGCTATTATAATAACTCTGTTGAAAACAATTACTGAGTACCTGTCTGTCATAATTATCTCTTGTAGCATCTCAAGGGACAGCAGGTTATTGTTTACTTTCCTGCAAAGTCAGAGTTAACTATGCCTTGTACCTTGGGTGTATTCCTTTGTTTTAAAGAAATAGGACCTTAATGTTTGGGCATGTTTATTTAATAGTAGTAATGTGATGCTAGTAATTTCACACATATTATTTCTGCTTTTAACGTTAACAAAAATTGCTTTAATATTTGTGTTTGATTATAAATGAAAGCTACTGATGTCTAATATGTTTCAGGAAAATACATGCATGAAAATATATTACTTTTGTATTTATCAAATATTAGTTTAATTACAGCAGGTATATTCATACTATTGTATGTTTTGATATTCAAATCTAATACCTTATTTGGGCAAATAAAAGGTGTTCACATATAATCAAGGATGAGAAATATATTTTTATGGAAAATTTTAAATTATCTTTCATGATTAATGAGGAAAAAACTTCTTAAGAAAGTAGAAAGCATGAACCCATCCTTTTACTAATAGGAAGTAATAGGGACAATTCAAACATAGCATTAAAGTACAAACTATCAGTTAGTCTTCAAATACCTGTTAAAGACATTTTCCCCTCCCTTTGTCTCTCACACTTGGTTGGATGACCGAACAGCATGCTATGTGAATGGGAGTCAGTCCTTGGTCCCTGTCACAATGGTCAGACATCCCTCGAAAGGTCCCAATTTGGAGAGGGTGCAGGCTGGGCTGAAGAACCCTCCCACCTCCATGCATGAATTTCGTGCACTGGGCCTCTAGTTGAATAATAATAGGAAGAAATGAAATGTTTATGCATAAGAATTTCTTTGGATAAATGTAAATTATTTATAAAATAATAAGTTTAAGAATTAATTCAAATTTTCATCTATCCATTTAAATTTTATTGACTAGCACATATCAACTACAACACAAGGTGGTACTTTTGCACTTAAAGAGTGTACAATCAAATATATGTCATATGAAATGAGATAGTGGGTTTATTTTTATGAAAAGTGAATGCAGAGGAAAAGCACACATGTTTTCCACCCTGAGATTCTGATGAGAAGCCCATTAATTTATATTTTAAGTCAAAATACTATCAATGTGCTTTATGCAATTAATCATGATAACTAATACCTAATATAATGATCTGCCCCTCGTTTAGTTTTTGAAAGCCAGGAGAAAATAAAATCTGACATTGGGATAAAAATGACTTTCAAATTGTGCTTCCAGTATATTTGTATTCATTCCCTTTCATAGGAAAATGGAGAATGCTAGCCAAGGGCTTTGTATAAAAAGGAAATCAACATTTTCTGTGTGGAATATTTAATAGCACATTTTAAAAAAATGCAATAAAATAATAAACTGTCAGTTTTACATGAATATTGGATATTCAGTATTACCTCCTGGGGTTTAAGTTAATGAATTTTAATACGGGAAATTTTTGAATGCTTGGCAGCCTTAACCATTGCCTTGGTGTTATGGTGCTAACTCTAAATCTATTTAATAAGTATCACTACCAACAATGATAATTCAAGTATAAAATTCTAACTGATAGAGAATGTTAACTTCTTTATAATGAGTACAAAAGAACCATTCTGATAATATTAACATATTTGCAGATAAAGTATTATTGATACATTAAGTAAATATATATATATAAATATATATATATATAAATATATATATATATAAATATATATATATATATGTCTTTGTCTACTCACATTTTATTTATTTCTCCAAATCATGTATTTTTATCCACCTGTTGATGATAATAACAAAATGGTCCTGCTTGTCTATTGTTAGTAATGCTAGGAAATATATAGGTCAAAATTTACCGTTAGGGAGAAGTCTGATATCAAGGGGCTCAGAGTAGTAGAGCTAAGGTTTGGGAAAATACATAATTAAGATTTGATGATATGAGGACAAGAGGCAGGGTCATCAGTTGGATATATTTCTACTACAGCAAAAAAGGAGGCAAATTGTGCTTGGCACAAATTAGGCATAAATGACTGAATGATTGAAGGAATGATATTTACTCAATATACATCTAAATAGACTTAAGTAATATGTAGCAAATTTTGAAACTAGCTAGGGTGAGACATTTCCATTTTGGGATTCTCATGACTTAAGGAGAAATATGTGGAGCCCTATGGAGTCTCATCTGGTGACTCAATGTATTTCCCATGGTTGGATTTTGACAATGATTTGTTCTTTGATTGTAAATAGAGGAAGTCATTTCCAAAAGCTACCTGGTTCTTTCCTTTTGTTTCTGAGAGTTTGCAGGTTCTAAGAAGTTTTGAAAATGTTTTCACAAATGCTTTTCTGACATTGCAACATTATAATGCAGCCCAAGATCATATCCTATCATTTAGATACAAATTCAAAGAAAATAGATTTCCAGCGTTACACCTTTCTTCTCACCTTCCCTCTCCTACATCTCTCTACTCTGAAACATTTCTAGTTGGAAGTGACATTTGTGTTGCCTGTAGAAGAGTCTCTAATTTTATTGGTATAATTATGATAAAAACACTGACCTGAAAAAAGTTTACTTTAACAATTACATTGATAATGGCAAGGACTGTGAAATGTCTGAGTTCACCCTAATTGCAAGCTATCCTGACACAGTTTCTTGTGTGCTGGAAGAAGTCACAAGACCACTGGGTCAGACTGAGCATCGTTTTACTCACAGAAATAGCATTAGCCAGAATTATTCCATTTGCACAGGTTCCTTGAGCTTCAGTTTCCACAGGTTGATATAACAAGGACCATATAACATCTGTATACATGGTGATTTCTATTTCAGGATAGAAACCTCGATATCTTATAAGAAGTGAAGTAGATAGAACAATGGCTTCCAACAGATATTTATATCTTAAGCCTAGAACCCAATAATTTACTTTTTTCTGTTTCACTTTAACTATTTCTGATTTCTCCTTATTAAACCTGATTATATAATTTGCCTATCTTTTCTATTTAAACAAATGTAAAAGTTCTAAATCTACAATGTCTAGATGAATTGTTTGGGACAAGAATGATTGTTTCTTTCCCAATTCTATAAGCTTTGCTGGATCCAATCAGTTATCTTACTTAGTATATGCAAAGAACTCACTGCTCAGTCTTTGAGTTGCTCTACAATATTATGTACAGTTTTATTCCAATTATTCTGTCCTTAGACTTCTAAAAGTTTGACTAGACTGAATTTCTTAAAGCCTGATCACTCATATGCCTGCCCACTGTGCTTATTTTTCTCTTGCTGTTCATCGCTCATAAATATTCACACACAACTCACCAGTTATCAGTGTTTATCCTAATCTGATTGCGAGTACAACGTGCCATTCTCTGATTTACACACTGATTTTGCTGACCTGACTAACTGGATGCCACTTCTTTTGTCTCTGCAATTCCAAATGCAATTGCCGTATTCAGTAGAGAGGCTGGCCTGCTGGAGAAGTGCTTTTATTTCCATGGTATTGCATGAAGAGCTGTCCTTCCTATCAGAGTCTATGCCAAAGCTCTTAGGATTGATTCTCCAATACTCCAGGGTAATGGGCATTTTGAGAGAACAGACATACTATATATATTCATCCTTCTGAGTAAATTCCAAGTGCCTTATATTCAGTGAAATGTTTATGTTTCCCACCTGATGGTATTCCTCCCCTTCTATATATCAGAGAAATTTATATCCCTCGTAGTGGCTTTTCACTATTACATGGGTGGTATCTACCATCTGTGAGGGTCTATAACTGATCTGGTCTCTTGTATTTTTGCATTTTCCTTATCAACCTGAACAAAGCCTTGCTTTGAGGTTCACATGTAAAAAGTTAATTAATGTAAATAAACTGTTAAAAGTATAATCCTTGCATTTTCAAGGACTTTGCTTCTCAAATCAAATATTTCCATACTGTTCCATATTTTTACAAGGAGTATATACTACTTTCATAATCAGAAAAATAATTTTATGTGAGTTATTAGGTTTGTTCCCTTGGAGTAGCTTTGTGAAAGAGTTCCAAAGTGACTCAGTCTAATTAGACTAAAATGTTTCAATTATTATTCTAGTGTGTTTTTTATTGTGTTCCATTTTGAAAATAACCATTAAGGGGAAATAAAAAAGAAGTTTTGATCATTTTGTGCCTACTCCCTTAATTAAAATCTGTGTTTACTTTCTTATCTTGAGATTTTATTTTATCATCTATTGAATATGATATACTTGTAAAGTTGAGATATTATAATTATAACTGTTGCTAGTAACTAATAAATATCTCTAGACCTTTATAAAATGTAAAAACTATATTATATTTTAAGTAAAGATGGTATTTTTGACATTCTTATCTAATTATGTATTTTTCTTATTCTTCTGCATTCTTTGGTAATTTAATCTCTTTACCCACTTCCCCCATTTAAATTTTCTTCTGATTTATCTTATGAATATTAATTAGTTGGAAAAAGTCACAAGCTCTATTTTCTAACTTACAACATCTTCCTTGATTGACTCCTTATACCCTTTTCTATTTTTTTGCTCAGTTAATTTAAAAGGAGCCAGGTAAACAATGTTAAATGAGCAAACCCTATTTGCAATGAGCTCATGTCATACTTTCTAAAATCATTACAAAGTAATTAATGCTATGCTTATAGCATCCATTGGATGCTTGTCATATTTTATAAAAATTAATCTCTTTGTTACCAGTTAGGATAGAATATAAAAATTCAAAGTTTTAAATAGCATTATTTAAGCTTGTCACTCTCCTTCCTTTCTTCCATTAACTTATTTTATAACTTTAAATTCAGGAAAGGAGAGAGGACTTCTCTCTCTTGATCATACTTTTTATGTTCCTACTTGAGTGTCCTTTGTAAACATTTGCTAAAAGAATGCTCTCCTCACAGTTCTGGGAATATAGCAGTAAACAAAGAGAAGAACCCCAGTCTTCATGGGCTTTATCTTCTAAAAGAAGGAAAAAGAAATGATCAAATTAAATAAATCTTCTCAATTTAGACATAATCACCTTTTTTTTTTCAATTGCAATCTTTCTCCACACCCAACTGCAACCTTCTCCTCCTCCCCAATTATTCTATATGACACTATACTTTCTATATATTGTCTTATGCAATTAAGGGGCTAAGAAAAAATCTCTATAGTTACTTAAAAAACAAAACAAAAAAACACAAATATTGTGGGGTCAGATAAGAATTGACGCATTGAGACTTATTAAGAAGCTACTGCAATGATCCAGAGGAGAAATGACCATGGTTTAGTCTAGCTCAGTGCCAGCGGAGGTTATGGTAAATAAGATGAATTTGTAATTTTGAAGAAAGACCCCACCACTTTACTTCAGGTTTTGAGAAAGAGAGCAGAGTCAATGATATCTCCAAGGTGTTTGCTTGAGTGACTAGACTTATGGATTTGAAATTAAGTGGGTTGGGGAAGACTTAAAGGAGACACACATTGGTGATGAGGAAGCAGAGGTTCAGGTTGAACAATGTATTTATGTATGATTTTGTCCTTCAATAAGGAACAAAGGGTAAGTATTCTAAGAGAATGGTGCCTACTTTCAGGGCCCACTTACATTTAGTAATCTGTGAGTTTAAAGTGAAACCAAATATTGAGATTGTGTGCTTTCCTTCAAACGTGTACATCTGCATTGGGGTAAAGGCAGAGCTGGGGTTTGCTAACTGTGCATGATGAAGTGAGAGAGGGGAGTAATTTTAGTAACAGTTCATGGACTCTAAACTTGTTAAATAGAAAAGAGAGGACATAAGCAGGGTGAGGAAGGCTGAGAAAATTGCTGGAATTGGGAAAGAAGAGGGAGGGAGTTTGTGATTAGAGATCATGGAGTCCTTAGAGAGTTATGGGTAATAACACAAACAAATATATAACCATAGAGATGAATGTCTGGGGTTGGATAGAGGAAAAGGTCATTGTCATCAAGAGTGTTGAAAATATCTATGTAGCTATGTAGAATTGTTGGTATGAGAGTCACTGTACAAGGAACAACAGCCACTGAGAAATAATTAGGACACAGGGTCCATGAATGACAGTGAAGAGGAAAGATGGAAAAGTCTGAAGATGCAAGATTCCCATGTGGCTGTTTTTAAGGGGAAGTGACAAAGAGTGAGGAGCAAGGGAAATGTCTATCTTGTTCATTTTATGTGTCACATAAAAAAAATAAAAAAGCTTGAGAAGGCTAAAGAAACAAGTTGGTTTAGAGCAAGAACATGAAAGAAATGAACAAACTATTATAAATTGTATATTTGCAAAACAAAACTGTTAATTACTAATTTATATTGGCATGCTTTCAGAAATATTGGGAACTATGTTTCTTAGCTACTGAAATGGGCTGAAATACATAAAGATCTGTTTATAATGTGGTGGTTAAGGCTCTTGACTCCCGGCTGGTATAGGAATAAAATAGCAGGCAGGCCAAGGAATTAAATGAGATTATTTGAATAAAAGAAATGTAAGGATTATGACAGTCCAATATTTTTTTAATGCATATTCTTTTCCAGACAGGGAAGCATGTGTGCATGCATTTTTCTGTTTCAAACCTCAAATATTAACAAAAGATTTGCATGTCAACCTCTGACACAGTTGAAACAAATGTTCTGAAATGGGATTACAGAAATGATTTCCTAATTCTACAAATTTCCTAAAAATCACTGAATGGTACAATTAAATTAATGAATTTTAAGGTATGTGTATTATACTTCAATAAAAGAGTTTTATTCAATAAAAGTAAAACAGAGAATATTTTAAAATAACATTTAAGCAGCAAAAATAGGACCCAAAATTAAATATAGTGCTGCTGAATATTAACTGGTAAAGCTGTTATGGTATTTTTTTTTTTGGGGGGGGGGGGGGGGGTTAATCAGTAATCAGTAATCTTGTAATTGGTATAGTAATACATTATATACTTTGATCCAATAATCTCATTTCTAATAATGTTTCCTAAGGAAAATAAGTCAAAAGAGGCAAAGCAACATGCAGAACTTTGCTTACAACAGCAGTTTTCCCCTGATGGTAGGATTACAAATGAATAAAGATAAATATTCAGTAAGGTATGCAATATTTGTACTGTAGAGTTTTGTGCAACATAATCACTTCGAGATTTTAGAAAATGGATGCAGTAGTGGAAAAGGTGGTAAAATGAGTATATTTGACTATGCAAATATATTCATGGAATATAAATTGAATATTAAAAAGATACTCAAAATTATTGGGGTCAGGCTATTGATTTTCTCATTTATATAATTGAGATATAATTTCTATTAAAATGCAAGTAATAGGTAGTGAAAATATTTGCTTTATATAATGAATGATAAATTATCATTTCAAATCTGCAAATAAGTTAATATTAGGAAGTAAAAGAGTACTTTTAATTTTGTAAGGAATTTGCTCATTATGGTAGATTATCAAATATAATATTCAATGATATTTTTAAGTACACTTTGTATATTCATATATCCTTAATGATCACAGATTAATAAAATTGTTATACACTTTAAATGAAAATACCTTGGGGGATTTTTTCAAAGATGATGTTGATTGTTTTGTGATAAACATTTGTACTTGTTTATTCAACAACTGGTGTCCATCTATTCTGGGCAGGCAATGCCATAGGTGATACACTCTCAAGGAGATACTTGTGAACACAACAGGCACCTTTCCTCTCCATGTGGCACTGACATTAGAGTATAGGAAGAAAAGTGTAATCATTTAATCATGTAACATAGAAAAAGTGAGAGAATATTTTGCAAATATCGAAATGCTATAAAAAATGGAGAGCAAGGTAAGAGGACTCCAGCATGGTCAGATTGCAGCACTGAGGAAGATGGTCAAGGGAACTTCATTGTGAAGATGGTTTTTAAGCAAAGATTTGATGTATTGAGGGAGATGACCAGATTGCTGTCTATTGAAGAGTGTTTTAAACAGGCAGAAAAGCTAGAGCAAAGGGCTAACAGCAGCACATATTAAAAGAAACATGCTAGTGATAACCGGAATGGAGAGCCAAGGATTTTCTCCCTGGATCTTGCCTCCAGATGCCAAAAACTGAGCTCCATGGACCAGAAGATTTAAGCAAACTTGTGGAAAATTTATTACAAGCAAATTCAGACCTCCCACATGGGGAAGGGGAGCACAATAACGAGCTGCCCGTTAAAGGCTTGTAGCCCAGGAGTATATATTTGCTTCTATATCTACCTGTGGAATCACCTGATTGATTCTCTCAATTTTTCTTGCCCAACAATGGTCCTGAACTTTGCCTATTTCTATCTGTTCTCTCTCTCTTCCTATTCTGAACTTTTCCTGTTTCTGTGTGTTCGTATACCTTGTTGCTGCAGGCCCTTTCTTGTTTCCCCATACCTCCCGCTTTGAGTCCAAAAGCATTTTATTATTTCTGCTTGTTTGGTTTCTGCGATTAGCCTTGCTCAAACTGCCACGTCTGCCCCTGCCTGTGTTCCACCTGCCTTTGTTTCCCACTGGACCCCTGCCTAATCTGCCTGCCTTTCATGTTAACCCTCTCGCTAGCATGCTCTGGAACTTCAAGGACGCCCACCAGTGTGGCTGGTGCAGAGTGAGCCTGGGAAACCCAACTGGATAAGCTCAGAAAACTAAGCAAGGGTCTGGTTAGGTAAGACCTTGTATGCTGTTGCACCCTGAATGAAATAGGGAGTAGTAGGGGAATGAACAGAGAAATAATTGGCCTGTGTTATTTTTGAGATTATTCTGTCAACTACGTCAAGAATATATTGGCACGTTTGGAAACAGGGAAAAGGAGGTAGAAGATTAGAACAATCCTGGTATAAGTAGAAGCAGAGTCCTGTTAAGAAATTTTACAAAAATCCAAGCAAGGCTCCTATCACTGTGGTCAGCAAACTGCGGCTTGCGAGCCACACCCAGCTCTTTGGCCCCTTGAGAGTGGCTCTTCCACAAAATACCACGGCCTGGGCAAGTCTATTTTGAAAAAGTGGCATTAGAAAAAATTTAAGTTTAAAAATTTTGGCTCTCAAAAGAAATTTCAATCATTGTACTGATGATATTCGGCTCTGTTGACTAATGAGTTTGCAGACCACTGTCCTGTCAGCATGATACCAGTGAAAATGGGAAGGACTGAATAAAATTTGGATGTGTGTTGAGGCACATGCAACAGGATTTACAAACAGGCTGAATGTGTTGTGTGAGATGATGCTGAGTTTGGGCTGAAGCACCTTGAGATGTCCTCACTAGAGATGAGAAGGCTGTAGGAGGAGCAATAGTGGGAGGAAGGACAGAATTCAGTTTTGAACATGCCGAGTTTAAGATCCCTATTTGTTATCCTAGTAAGCATTTAGTTATATGAATCTGAAGTTCAGGGTAGAGGTGTAGGCTAAAGATAAATTTGTCAGGTCTCAGCAGATAAATGGTTCTTTAGTCACGGAACTGAGTGAGATCACCTCTGAGTGAGTGAAACAGAGTTTCAAGGAAGGAGCCTGGGGCAAACTCAGCATTTGAAA